AAGGTGCCATTCCAAACGAGGTCTTTGATGTGGCAGTTGTGGTGGAGGAGACAATTGTCCTGCACAACGTTAAAGATGTGACGCACAGCTTTGCCGTGCTTATGGGCGTCATCTACCATGTCAATCTCAAGTATCCAGATGACATGAAGCATTCTTTTGAGTTTCTTCAGGGAGTAGTGATGAAGATCAGCCCAGACCAGGCCTCGGCTCGAGTACATGGACTGAGAAACAGGATCCTGAGGTACAAACTGTGAAATCGGCCAAGTTTTTAGTTCCATTTTTCATGTGGAAAGAGTTTCGTTTGTTCAGTTCTTTTGTATCCAAACTAAAACTTTAAGAATTGATCTGAACTGTTCTATGAAAAAACATGATTCGTGATTGTGATTGTGATCTTGTTCCACTTAGTGCTATTGTTCTGATAGAGAGCTAATGGATTATTGACTTTGCACAACTGTTCAATGTTGCAATGTTCTCATTCAACATGAAGGTCTTACTTATACTTGTCTTAAAGATAAAGGTGCTCATTGACTTTGGCCTAAAGGCTTGTCTCATTTGTCATAATTGTTTTTGATGAAAGTGTCAAATAAATGTTTTTAAACATTTAAGTTGTAAATGTATTGTGTAATCTTTTAGAAAGCTATTGAACTGGCAATTATTGGTTAAGAAAGGGGATAACATACAGAAATGTTAGTTTATATAAATTGCAATTATAAATTCAGTTGCTGTCTTAAAAAAATGAGTTAACTTTAAAAGGAAATTGGTATAAACAGTTTCTTTAACTTTAAAAAGAGAGTTTAAATTATTTAAAATTACATGTTCCTTTGACAAAATAAAGCAAGTTTTCTTGAATGAATAATGTAACTTTGAGCTGTTTGAACTCAGAGGATAAAGTTCAGACAAGAAATAGTTATTAATTACACCACTGGTATAACTTGATTATGTGAGTCCAAATGACATATAACTGTACGTTTCCATGACAAGACTAATCAGTTTTTTGAAAAAAAAAATTTCCATTTTAAGTCATTTCAACTTGTAGAATTAAGTTCAAACAAAACAATATAAAATGGGCAACTTTTATAACTTACCATAATAAATGGAACACAAAGCTATTTTTAAGTTGAGTTCACTTATATTTTTAAATAGAACCACCCTAATAATTTTTACAGTGCATGAAATATTTAATCATGAGTAAAAGCAAAAACCCTTCCAAGATCTTCGTAATCTTATTGTTGGAAAGCATTCTGATGGGAATGGATATAGGCACATTTCCGGGATGCTGAATGTTCATGTCAGCACTGTGGGGGCCATTATCCGGAAATGAGAGAGCATCAGTTCACCATAAACCAGCCACGATCATGGTGCTCCATGTTAGATTCCTGTCGGAGGAATCCAAAGAATAACCAGGTTAGTTCTTCAAGAGCCAAGAACCTCTTGGGTAGAACTTCAGGAAGACCTTGCGTCAACAGGTACCGTTGTTGTAAACAAATCTGTAAGCAATGCACTGAACCACCTTGGTGAGCTTGCAACCATGCATACTCATCATGCTAGACACCATTGCTGAACAAAAAGCTTGTTGAAGCTTGGTTAAAGTTTGTGAAACAGAATTTGGAGAAGCTTGTGGGTTACTGGGAGATTATGGTCAGATGAAAGCACGATTGGACTTTTTGGCTGTCACACACACCGTGTTTGGAGAAGAAATGGGTCCACCCCAGAACACCATACGAATGGTTACATTTGGGGGTGGAAGCATCATGGTGTGGGGCTGCTTCTCAGCAAGGGGTCCTGGTAGACTTCATGGTACTGAAGGCAGTATGAATGTGGAAATGTACCGGGAAATCTGGATAAAAATCTGGTGCCATCTACCAGAAAGCTGAAAATGAATGGAGGGTGGACGTTTGGACAATGATCCCAAACACAAGGCCATGGAAACAATGAACTGGTTTCACAGAAAGAAAACCAAGTAGCTTGAATGGCCCTTTCAATCACTTGGCCTAAATCCCATTGAAAGAACTGATCAAAGTTCATAAAAGAGACCAAAAGATCATTTGTGCAGAAGAATGGACCAGAACCACGGCTGAACAACGCAGGCGACTGGTGTCTCCATACAAGAGAAGCTGTTATCACCAACAAGGGCTTTTCTGTAAAGTATGTTCAATACTTTTTCTATAGGTCGTTTCACTTTATTTATTATGACTCAACTTGTTTACTTAAATGTTCTGATTTCTTTGTATTAATTCAATATTTGTCTTGATGGAAACACCTGGTGGAGTTGTTGTGTCAATTGCCCACTTAGAAATACCCTTACTGATAAAAATACTGATGTGTTAAATACTTATTCTCCCCACTGTATTTAACTATATTTTACCACAATGTTAAAGTATTCATTAAATGTCCTCTGTTGATGGCATTTTAATTGTTTTTGTTCTGTAGTCGTTGTAATTCAGAGGTAGGAAACTCATACTTCATTAACATTTCATCAACTGACTTTCAAAGAGTAATGTTTCAGATATTTAAAATAAAGTCTAAACATATTTTAAAAAACATTAGAATGTTTAAAATACACATACATGTAAGTAGGTTTGATTTAAAGCTAAATATTTAGCTAACATTTAAAAGGAGATTGCTGTAAATTAGAAGTGACCTACCAAAATAAAAGAGGGGAGTGTGTGTGTCTATATGTGTGTGTGCGTATCTAGATCTGTGTGTAACTCTTGATTTGTAACTTGTGTTTACATTTTCGTGTGTAACTTCAGTTCCTACACAGACAAATCATTGAATACACACACACACACACACACACACACACACACACACACACACACACCTGGTAAACACGGACAAAACTACATTACACACAGATCAGTTTACAAGTACAAAAATCCTTTTGAGACTATTTTCTCACCTGACTGATTTGTGTGTACATGGTGCGTTTGAATGCTCGGTGGAAGCTGGGAAATATGATTTTCCTTTGGAATTAGTCTAAACTTGTGTTGACAGGACAAATATGCTTTTCTGTGGAAAAATAGAGTCTCTCAGGATCCTGTAGTTATAAAAGATAGACCTACGTTTAACTTTTAATAATCTAAAATTGTTTATTTAGATATATTTGTGTTTGTGAGCCATGAAAACAGTCAAAGTTTTAAAAGAAATGACTAATAAATGGCAGAGTAGTTCTCTGACTGGAAAAAGCAGGCTTCAAACCGGGAGAAGGCACAAGAAGATGGTGCAGCGTCCTGGTGATCTTTCCTCTGAAGTAAGTAAAGTAAGTCCAGCATGTTTTGCAGTCAGATTATAATGAGTCAGCTATTATTTTTGACCATTTCAGACGTTTTGCATCCCTAACCTTCATCTAAGGCCTAAGAGTTTCTTTCAAGATAAGTTTTGTGTAAGTGTGTTCAAACATAGAACAGTTAGTGAACAATTCTGAAGGAAAACCCATGAATTAGTGGCCACAGATGCACACAATCAGTGTATCTCCTCTTCCCGCTTTTATTTTGGTGGGTTACTAACAGTTCATATGACAGTCTTTATTTAAATAAAAATATTTATAGATGGGCTTAAACGTTTAAATGCATTTATGTATAGTTTGATTTGATCAAAATTTTGATTTAAACAATGTTTTGTTTCATGTTGACACATTGAGACGATAAATTAAAATTTCCCAAATCAACGTGATGAATACTCACTTTTAAGAACTTAATTATGTTGTTAGCGGAGAAATGACGCTATTATTTATGCTGTGTGTATATATATATATATATATATATATATATATATATATATATATACACACACACACACACACACACACACACACATATATATATATACGTATATGTGATATATGATCATGCGCCCTGGCTACTTGGCCTAGGGGATGTCCTTTGGCTGACTGGTTAGAGCGTTTGACTCTCACCCGGGAGTCTGGGGATCGAATCCCGCCCAGGCCCTAGTTTATCCACCTTGCCACATAGATATAGGTGTGTGTGTGTGTGTTAGAGTCTTATATATGTGTGTGTGCGCGCGCGTGTGTCTTGAAAGGGGGGGGTAAAGAGACAAGCATTGAAGGAATGATGCGGAAAAATCTAAACACCCCCTCCCCGGCGCAAAGGCCCACCCCCTCCACTCCACGCACAACGCACGCACGGAATACCGGGGCATGCCCAGCGACGCACGCAGCATCAGCTGCGCCTCTTCCGGCAGAGAGACCTTGTGAGTTTACTAAGCGCAGGTCCAGTGTGTGTGTGTGTGTGTGTGTGTGTGTGTGTGTGTGTGTGTGTGGAGGGGGTGTACGCCAGCCTCGTTGTGACCCGATAAACACGACGGATCATGACCCGAGCACAGCCCCTCCTCGAACCTCCACAGCCGCCCACACATCCATTACTCCGTCTAATCCAGTGATCAACACCACTACCGCGGCTCGCCTCGTTCTGATCAGGCAGCCCTGCATCCCTAAACTCCATTTTGTGACACACACACACACACACACACACACACACACACACACACACACACACACACACACACACACACACAGGAAAACAAGAGAGGTGGGGGAGAGCAGGGAGACCTTTAGGAAGACACGCGGCAGAAACACCCCCTGACATTCAGACGCTATAATAAAAACATCGCCTCCGCGCGCTGAACCACCACGTCAACGCGCTACTTTTGAACAGTTCATCAAGCAGGCCGCTCACAGCAACTCAGTGGCGACGCCTGGCAAAGTTATCAGCCTACCTGCGACTCAAACCTCAGCCGGGATTCAAGAAACCCTAATGTAGGCCAAACGGACCAGCTAAAGCAGGGGGAGAACGAACGAACGAACACACACACACACACACACACACACACACACACACACACACACACACACTAACCGAAAACCTCCTTGAGTATCGCATGTTCGCCTCCCCCTCTCCTCGCCACCATCCGAGCAGCATTCATGCAGCATCCTCCCACATCCCCAGCATCAGCACCATCACACCACCAGCAGGGTTTACCTTTATGTCTGCCTTTAGCCGTCATCGTCACACTGCTGGCTGTTTCATTTGAACGAGAAGCTCATGTCCCTGTCTCCCTGAGCGCGTCTCCCCCTCTGTCACTCCGTCGGTTGTTTCTCTGGCGGGTATTATTCAGTAACGCGAAATCACCGCTAGGAGAGAGGAGCGCGCGCGTATGGAGCGCATGCAGCAGCGCAGGGTGTCGCACAATGCTTTCATAGAGGAGACATCCACCACCTCCCTCCCCTCCCCTCCCCCTTTAGAGAAAAAATAGGGGCAATGCCTGAGTGAGGGGTGAATTCTAATGGAATAACGAGGGAAGACCCTGATTATGGCGTTGGATCCCCCCTCTTCATCATCACCCCCTCCCTCTAAGATTCACAATCAAGAGGCGCATGCATGTGACTTGTCAGCCAAAAATCCTCCTCTTTATTATGAGGTGCTACAATAATAAGCAGGAACCAGAGAGCGCGAGTAGAAGAGAGTAGTATAGCAAAATGATGCAAACACACACGCGCGCGCGCACACGCAAACAGATTAAAACGATAGGTTACGGATGAGTTATTGGCTCAGAGGAGCGCGCACTGGCCGTGCGGGGTTTGGCAATGCCTCCTGTCGAAGGCCGAGGTGATGCTGTCGGGTCCTAGGCGGGCGTCGACATTAAACGCGGTGGCTGGGTGCTTGTTTTCTGGCTGCAGCAGTGGCATCACTCGGTGGAGTCTCCGCGCTCCCCCGGACAGAGGAAGCCTGCTGCTGCGGCGCTGATTTTGGGGGAGGATAGGCGGACACCTCGCTGCTGTTGTGGCATGTTCGGAGCCTAAAGTTTATTTTTCTTCTGAGAAGGGGTGTGTGTGTGTGTGTGTGTGTGTGTGTGTGTGTGTGTGTGTGTGTGTGTGTGTGTGTGTGTGTGTGTGTGTGTGTGTGTGTGTGTTGGGGGAGGGGGCATTCGCGGGGCAGAAACGGGAGACGCGCGCTTTGGAGAGCGAGGAGATGAGCACCGGGCTCTGCCTCTCCGGGACGTCTCTGCGGTGCAGCTGCCAACACCCCGGAATGGCGAAAGAAGGAACTCCCACGCAGGGCCACGCGCGCGCGGGTGCGCGCACACACATACACACACTACCTACTCAGCCACGCACATTCAGACTCATACTGCCATCGTGTGGAGACATTGATTATAGGGCTTTCCCCCTGAGATGATTGGGCCGTTGCGCTTACAGCAAGTGTGCGCGTGCGCAACTGAGCTTTTGCTCAATGTTGCAGGTGATCACGTACCCCAATTACTTGGTGTTTTCTTTAGAATAAAAGAGAGGAGGGTTATCAAGCTCCATCTGGATGTTTAGAACGCATGCACGCGCGCGCGCACACACACACACCTTATGATTATGTAATGTTTACATTTCATTTTCAAGTCTGAGTTCTGCAAGCAAACATGTTCCTCTTTGTGAATAATAAAGTAAATCTGAATTTGAAAGTCGGGGTATGATTTCAAAGTGTTGGTAAGAAATTTAATGTTTAAATGACAAAACTGAAATCTGTCAGAAGACGATACAGCAAGACTAGCAGGGGTTTTATGGAATAACAAGTCAGAGATCATTTTGCTTTTAGATTTGCTCGTTTCTAATAATAAATATGAATATCTGCTGCAAAGTGTAGGTAATAAAGAGCTCATATAGACTTTAAATACAGCCCTGTCATGTTATCTAAATTTTAGAAAGTCTCACGAGCAAGAGTGGATCTGGATACATTTTTAAAATATGAAAAAAAATTGAAAAAGCGAGAAAATTTTATTATCAGGAATTACAAGTTGGGATGAAGCTTTATCATAGAATAGACCAGAAGTGATGGGTTTATGGTCACAGCTGATTATAACGATTAAAACTGTCAATTCACAAAGTATTTTAATTGAATGAGCTCCATATTTAAGTCTCCAGGCCCCTAGGAGGCGCTGTGGAGCTCGATGCTAATCAGTGAAACAGAATCATTCGTTTAAGAGTTATACTGCATTTGCAAATATCAAAACTCATCCTAGATATATATCCAGATCACAACGACTGGTCAGACAGTTGTGCAAGTTCTGTCACGGACGCGCAGGTGAGGTGAGCGGAGGTGAGGATCCAAGTGCAGGGGAAGAAGGCAGGCAGGCACGTTTAAAGGGTTTAATGAAAGGCACAACGCGGGACATCAAAACAATGAACAGACAAGGAACACAGAACTGGGAGGGTTTAAATACACAAGGAGCTGACATCTAGAGTGATTGGGAAACGAGAGGCAGGTGGGAGCAATAAGGAAAGACACAGGACTGAACAGAATGGGGAGACAAGACAGGTTGTGACACTCTCCCACAAAGATATGAAGGAGATCTGCATGGAGGAATGGACCAAAACACCAGCAACAATGTGAATACCTTGTGAAGACGTACAGAAAACATTTCATCTCTGCCATTGCCAACAAAGTGTATGTAGCTAAGTACTGAGATGGACCTTTGTAATTGACCAAATACTCATTTTCATTGTTATTTTCATTCCGCTGTATGTAGGCTATACTGTATAGATGGAACATAATAGTAAAAAGTTAAACTTTTTCATATGGGAGCAAGACTAAGTGATCTGGTCTAGCAGAGAAGAACACTTGACAAGTTTCAATGGCTGTGTCCAAATTCAGGGGTTGCTTGCTCATGAGTACCCGTCCTCATTGGTTGAGAACGTGTTCTTACCGGATAGACTGGATGTTAACAACTGAATTTGGACAATCTAGCCTTAAAGAGCAAGTCACCCCCAAATCAACATTTTTTGCTGATAAACTATAAATGAGTGTCTAATCGTGCTGTAGACACGTGTAGTCAATAATCTGGCACTTAAGTAGCCTGGCAAGCCAGACTAAATAAATGTATTATTAGTCTGGCCATGCTCCATTGACGGCTCTGGGTTGTGGGGCGGGTTCTACCGTTGTCTTTCAAATGATCTCCGCATTCCACTGGACAATGAATGTGACATCCTCTTGTTTCACTCTGTTGCATCATCCCACCCACCAGGCATATAGAGTGCCTTGACTGGCCCACAAAGCGGATAAAGCTCTGTGATGTGTTCACTAAGCAGATAGAGCACTATGATTGGCCCACCATTATGGACCAATCACAGCTCTTTATGTTTTTGAAACCCCTCTAGAGAGCTGTGATTGGCTAGCCAGAGTCCTGGTAGGAGCTGCGGAGGTTCCAGTGGAGCATGCCTAGACCAAACTTTGCAAAGCAAGAATTTGGTCTAGTTCACTAGGCTAGCACTTTAGTGCATCTTAGTTAAAATTTTAATATTCTGCCTAAAACTGTCAGTGTTGCGCCCCCTTCAGGCAAAAACTCTGCACTGCCTTTGAATTTAAATCTGCCATTGCTATTGGCTAAGGGGTACCCTATGACATCAGCTGATACCGTAAGATGTCACAATGCCGCTGTGAGCATGTGTGTGTGTGTGTGTGTGTGTGTGTGTGCCACTAGAATATTTCAGCTCAGCCAGCAGCTCACGTAGTTCGCACATAGCAAGTTTTTACCCCCCATGAGGCGAAAAATATCAAACCGGTCGGAAACTCACCTCAGCATCTCGTGAGGCGGAAAACTCAGTGAAAATCAGGCGCGCAGAACGAGGTATCTGCTGAGCAAACGGTCACTCAAGGCCATTTGCTCAGCACTTTGCTCTCGTGTGCGGCAGGCTTAAGCAGCCACTCCAGCTTTTCCGCCTTTGTCATTGGCACCTCATGCAGGGTTAAGGGCCACATGAGAAGAATGCCGAACTGTAGACACCAGACTTTCAGTCTTCCAGGAAGAGTGGTCTTAATGATGGCTTCCAGGTCACTGACTGCATCTTTCCTGCCCTGTTCTGCCTGGTTACTGTCCCTAAGAGATGCACCATACCACCATTGCAAGCTTTTAACTGGCTCCTAAGAGATCAAAGGGATTACTTAATTGCAGATAAAAAAAAGCAGTGATCAACTATCTTGCCTTTGACAATGGAGAAGCTCCTGGATTTAGCTGGCACGAACATCATCCGAGGCCAGCTCAGTATTATCTTCAAGCTTCTTGAGCAGCCTTTGAGTGCAAGCTTTAGTTGTGGTGAGAGTTGTGAGGTCATCCATATGTTTATGTATTTAGCAGACGCTTTTGTCCAAAGCGACTTACAAGTGATAATCGGCATGTTGCCCTTGAGGCTAACAACAACAACAACAACAACAACGTGACATCAGTCATGGAGAGGAGGGAACAAGGAGTGGACAGTAGAGGGGGGGACGGGTGCAGGGAGGGTACTAGTTTAGAAGATGCTCTCTGAAGAGCAGGGTCTTCAGGAGTTTCCTAAAAATTTAAAAGGAAGCCACAGTTCTGGTAGTGCTTGGTAGGTCATTCCACATTTGTGGAACGATGCATGAGAAGAGTCTGGATTGTCCTGAGCGTGGTGTAGGCACTGCTAGCCGACCATCCTGTGATGACCGGAGCGGCCGGGCCGAGACGTAAGCCTTTGCAAGAGGATTCAGGTAGATGGGAGCCGTACCGTCTCGGACTTTGTATGCTAGTGTTAGCTATTTGAATTTGATGCGTGCTGCTAGCGGTAGCCAGTGTAGCTCAATGAACAGAGGGGTGACGTGTGCTCTTTTAGGCTGACTGAAGACCAGACGCGCCGCTGCGTTCTGGACCGTTTGAAGAGGTCTCCCAGTACAGCCTGGAAGACCAGTTAGAAGGGCGTTGCAGTAATGGAGGCGGGAGATGACAGTAGATTGCACCAGGAGCTGGGTGGCATGTTGTGTTGGGTATGGTCTGATCTTTCGTATGTTATACAGCGCAAAGCGGCATGAACGAGCAACAGAGGCAACATGATCTTTAAAGGTCAGGTGTTCATCAATCACAACACCCAGATTTCCAACTGCCTTTGAAGGAGCCAGAGATAGGAAGTCATTTCGGATTGAGATAGTGTGCTGTATGGATGGTTTTGCTGGGATGACAAGTAGTTCAGTTTTTAGAGAGGTTGAGTTGGAGATGGTGGGATTTCATCCATTTTGATATGTCAGAGAGACAGTTTGATATTCGTGCAGAGACAGTGTGGTCGTCCGGTGGAAATGACAGATAGACCTGGGTGTCGTCTGCATAGCAGTGGTAGGAGAAGCCATGTGATCGAATGATCTCACCCAGTGAGGTGGTGTATATGGCAAAGAGAAGAGGTCCTAGTACAGAGCCCTGGGGGACTCCTGTGGCAAGATGGTGCACGGTAGAGGATTGTCCAAGCCAAGATACACTGATTGTCCTGTGTACGATTCAAACCAGGCGTGTGCTTTCTCTGTGATGCCCATGCTAGAGAGTGTGGACAAAAGGAAGCCATGGTTGACAGTGTCAAATGCAGCCGATCAGTCAAGCAGGATAAGCACTGAGGATTTGGCGGTCACTCTACCCTGACAGATGGCATCCAAACGACAGGACTTATATACTGCCCTCCAACCACCCACGGAGATGCTTTGATGATCACCTCCACAGTCATAGTGAAGGCTAGTGGAGAGATGGTACATCCAGCCATAATTCACATTTCCATACATTGCCAAGCTGTGGTAAACCTGTATGTTGTTTAGCACAACTGGACAGTGTGGAAATAGAGATCCGTACGCTCTGCTGGCAAGTCAAAAGCGGCCCAAAGTAAGTTATGCGGGACTGAGCCAAAGGCATTAACGAGGCCCAACAACACCACATGCTGATAGCTTCTCTCCATCCTGGCAACCTCGATCTGGTGCCAGATGGCACTGTTGTATTCCAAACAACAATGAGAATCTGAAAAACCTGCTTTCTTGATTGACGTATTGATGAGGTAGTTTGTCTGCAGATGTGTTAGTCTTTGGGTTATTAGATGAATTTTCATAAACGTCATTGAAGGGCACTTTAAGGATGGCAACTTTGGTCTTTACTCCGCTTAGACTAGCTGTTAGCTCGTCAATATTGAAGGATGTAATAAAAAAAATCACAGCCACACATTCACTTGGGTCAGTTTGTGTGATGTGAGATGTAAATGGAAGTTTTCTCAGACCATGCTATATTTAGTTAGTTTATTTAGTCCTGACTAAAGGTAATGCTTTTTTTTTGTATTTTTTTTAACATATTTTTCCCCCTCAAATAAAGCTAGGAGACAGGGTCATGCTGTAACAATTTTGTTTGAAGCTGCAGTGGAACATCAATTATAGTTGTAGACAAAATGCAACTATTGAAAGTGTAAATTACAGGTGTGCAATGATGGGTTTACAGACAATTAAAGTAAGTTGTAATTAGTTTATAACCGTTTGTATGAACAGTAAAGCTGTAATAAGATGAGTATGTATGACCAAGGTGTCCACATGGGGCATCCTGTTTGCCTTTTCATCAATATTAATGGCTTCAAGCTTTGTCACACAACAATGTGCTCAGGTTATACTCTGTTGCCTATTCAGTTTCCCTGTTCTGCTTTTGGGTGAATTAACATTACAGATCTCTTTGGTGTGGGTTTTTGTTTAGACACGCACAACAAAACAAAACCCCTGAGCATTAAGACAAACATGGCCCTGTTGAAAACAAAAATAAATCCTAAATATTTCAGTATATTATTGTAACAGATTGTTATTAGAGCCGACACCTTTGATGTTTGTTTACACGGCAACTCTTGTCATCCTCAACTAGTCAACTCGTAGCTGTAAACAAAGCTATAATTATAAACATTTTCTCCCCAACTGACTGAACGTGAGAAGTAAACACAGCAACTTTTTGATCAGACCACTTTAGGTCCCCGGAGTTTAATTAACTTCATGCAAAAAGCAAAAGGTAGACATTTTGGCATCGTTGAAGTGACTTCAGCTCTGCGCGTGCGCTCTAGAAGCCAGTTGCAGCACAGTCTTTAGGGTACTGTGAGAGTGCGCATGTCTGCAGAGGGCTCCCCCAAAGGCAGCGCAGTGACAAATGCGTCTGAAAACACAGTTCCGGTTCTGAAGTTGGGCCTTCAGAATAAAACATTATGATTTTTTTTGAAGGAAACATTTATTTACAGCAGAAAAATTGGTGAAATGGATCACATGTACAAATGAAATATAGGCATTTCAAAGCACACACGCACGCACACGCGCGCACGCACACACACACACACACACACACACCACAGATTACAGTTAAGAAACAGAAAAACATGTTTACATCAACGAACTATCATAGATCTATGTTGTGGAGTACTTTTTAAAGTGTATGTGTTGCTGTAACGAGTGAATTTCCCCCACTGTGGGACTATTAAAGTCTAAAATATTATTTTTAACAAATTGGTTTGTAATTGGCACAACGGCCACTTCCAACTCAAGTTAAATTATTTGCAAGTTTTTTCATAGCTTGTCAGAACAGAAATTTAAGTAGACAAAGACATAATCTAATCCATCTATGTGCATATGTGTATAGTTAAAATGTTTACAATGGAATGGTCAGTTTCAAGGTAAAAGAAAAGTAATGACAGGAAAAAAATAGCCCCAGAGGCAAACTACAGCCCTTGGAGTGATTCTGTACAGCTCTCAACCGCATTTCATGAATAGTAAAACCATGTCTCAGCAGACTATTGTTTGTGATACAAAAACGTTATGACATTTTAATGTTCCAATAAATAAATACAAATAATGCAAAAGTTTATGTCTAACATAAAAAGTTAGATTTTTAAATTTTATTTGTATTTATTAAATTAATTTCATAGCAAATCATATCATAAACCCTAGCTGTGTTGAGTGTCAAGTCATAAATTTGGACTAAATTAAGCAACGAAATTACAGAACAGATGTCTCAGATAATGTTTCTGTAGCTGACAATGGACTAAACTTTATTTTTAAGAAAAGAAAACAATCAACCAATCAAATCCATCCATCCATCCATTGCCTGAACCCGCTTGTCCATGTAGGGTCGCAGGGCAACCGGTGCCCATCTACCAATCAAATCATATTAAGACAAAAGTAAAATACCTCTTTTGTCTCCCATATACAAAGTTTTACAGGTGTTTTCTACAAAAAAAAAAACTACTTTGCTTTTTTACTTAATTATCACAAGGGTTGTGTATTATTGAGGAGACAAAACATTGTAATTGAAAAATAAAATATTTCAAACATTAGCCTATTTATTAAGGTTTTTTGTTGTTGTAGCTATCTTTATATGGATAATTTATTTAACAAAATTAATAAAAGGCAACATGTAGGTACTGCTAGATTAAAAAAAAATTCTGTGTAGTTTGTGCTCTGACTATGTAGGTTTTATTGTGAAGAGGCCAGAACGGAAGTAGTTTCCCGTTGCTGCTAGCGGAACGCAGGCAGGCCGCAGTGATTTGGTAGCCGCTGCAGTAGGAGGAAGGACCGCGGTTCTACCCCTTCTATCTTTCAGTTTCACCTCGAAATCCTTTCGGTGTTTCATTTCGGTAGCAACCAATAACCTGCGTGCACAGATACGGTGTTTTATGAATATCTGAGTCGTAGTATTCAGTGGTATCAATCGCCATATTAATCGCACGTTTTCCGTGACAGAAGCGCTAGCACAACAATGGCTCTGAAAAGAATTCACAAGGTAAGGAAGTGGACGGCGAGGCCCGAGATTTCGCAGTTTTGTTGTGGTTTTCTACCAAGGCTGGCTTTTGGAGGCTTGTCCCACGACTTTGTTACATTAAGAATAATTTTGGAATATTGACTTAAAGAGTTTCGTTGAGTTTTATCGGTCAGAGAAGGTTGTGGGAATAGCTGGTGAGCTACTGAATATAGCCGCCTCTGTGTTAACTGCTGCCGCTTGAAACGGGCCAGCCGAGTCGTTGACGTGATGCTAGCAGGTTGTGGTTGAGCTATGTGTGCATACATTAAGTGTAGGTTTAACATCCATACATTTAATACGGGCTTTAACGTCATGAATAATTAAACTATGACTGTCACTACTATATTGTGTATTAGGTGCTGTTGACCGGTGTTGCTACCGACACGGGGGCATAAATTGTGACGGGGATAAGTACCTTGGCGCAACACCGGCGGTTAGCTTATTTAACCTAGCATAAATGTACTAGATTTTTGTTATACGGCTGACTGTAAATTCTATGAATGTGTGGTACGAGATGTCCTCATGACTGCTCATGCAACAGCACAAGTCTCCAACACAGATGATCTCATTTCTATAGTAAAATTGCCCAACTTGTTTTGACAGATAAACGTAAATTAGCTAACGCCAGAGCTTTTGTTGGATTGTTTTACTGTGGCTTGTGAAGCACCTGGCCGTTTATTTGTCTCCGACTATGTGACGGTTATGATCTTTACCGACGTTCAAGTTGAATATTTTCACATCACGGAGACGATAGCTTGATGTAGCTGGAGCTAGTCGCGAAAGGTGCTCCTTGTGTTTTTTTTCTTTAGCAGCTTACCATCAACGGGGTGTACAAACTGCTCTAATTTTAGGTGACAACAAGTTCTGTTGTTTGTGCTTGGCGAGTTGGTCAGCTTCACAGCGACAGGTGCTGTAAACGAGGCTTCATCATTAGTTGGTGTTAGCCCTGACGCTGTGGTGGAAACGGGCCCCGCGCCTCGTTCGCCTTTGATCGCTTGTTGTTGCTAATAAATGGCGGTTTAATGGCAGCCCGTCGCAGTTTTTCCTGATTGTTCTACGTAGGTTAGCTTAATTTGTTGTTACCTAACGTGATGTAGTGATCGAGTCTGCTAGTCGGTGTTGTAAAGTGCCGAAGCAGCCGGTGGTTCGTGTGTGTTACACGACATCCTGTGCTATTTCCGAGCCTGGTCAGCTACATGTACGCTAGAACAGCGTCTCCACCGCAGTCGGTGTCACCACCGCAGGTTGTTCAGCTGCCTTAAAGGTTGATATGATAATAAAATATCCGCTGTCGTAATGCTGTGATCTCCGTTTGGCTGCTACTTGTTGTGTACCTGTAAAAACAGTGTTATGTAAGAGCGGTCCCTGCAATAACCAAAGCTTTCGGCGCATGTAGTAGCGCTGTTATGTCAGAAGAGAATTCTCATCCTGTTTCTGTCATTCTCCCATCGCTCGTGAATTGACCCAAAACGCAAATTTTATTATTGCGTTCGCAGTTAATGACATTTCATTTGTTTTCTTGCAGGAGTTGAATGATTTGGCACGGGATCCTCCAGCCCAGTGTTCTGCAGGACCAGTAGGAGATGACAGTGAGTTTACATCCGACCTTCTTACATTTACAGCTGCCTCAGTTAATTTAGTGAACACTTGTCAAACGTTTTGTTTACAGAAAAAGCTCATCAGGATTAGTGTTGAACTGGTAAACATGTATAAATAAGACCTTAGCTGGTGGTAAGGGTTACATTACCCATGACTGTTATAAATACTGATCTGTTCATGACCAGAATTTAAGCTTTGGAGGAAGAAAACAAAATGTATGTCGAGGTTGATTTATACAAAGTCTTTGACTTTTATTGTAAATACCCTTAAAGAGCAAGTCACCCCCGACCAGAGCCTTACTCCACTCCCACTTCCTGTATGAAAAATGCAACAAATGCTGTTGCCTGGCAGAATGGCTAACAAATACACACAGGCTCACAACGACATTGTGACATCATAATGTACCACCTCGTAGCCAGTAGCAATGGCAGATCAGATTTAAATTCAAATACATTGCAGAGTTTTTACCTGAAGACTACACAAGAGTTTTAGGCAGAGTATTTAAATTTTAACTAAGATGCATTAAAGTGCCAAATTATTGACTACATTTGTCTACAGCACGATTAGACACTCATTTATATAGATTATCAGCAAAAAAAAAAAAGTTGATTTGGGGGTGACTTGCTCTTTAGGCCTAGTTTATGCGTCTGCGTCTGTAAAGAGACACGCAACACCATTATACGTCTTTTTGAGGGTTCTCCAGCAGGTTCGCAAGGACAGACGGAGTTGAGCCCACTTTTCTAAACATCTGTCGAACGTGATGATGGAGAACACAAGCTTGTGATTGGCCTGGACGCCGCATTTGTCAACAGCACTGCTATTGCGCCCTCGAAAACTGAGAGCCAAAGATATCTAGCGGCAGACACACATCAGCTGGAAGAATACCTCATGGAAAAACTCTAAAAATATAAACCTTTTATATAGGACTGGGAACCTCAGGGTATCTCAGGATAACATACGATACGCTGTATATGTCTCACGATACAATATTATCACGATACGGCGATACTGCACAAGTTGGCCTACAATATGCATAACCTTTAAATTTTATTATGCCCTGAAATAATTAAAATGCAGTCAGTAAATATCAACTGCTTTTAAATGTCTATCAGAATTAATGTAAAAAGTAATTTTAAGTGACTTACAGTTACTTGTATAGTAAAGTCCATGTATAAAAACGTTTAAGTGCCTTACACTGACACCATTTCTGAACAATATAGAGCAAAAAACATTACTATCAATAAAAAGCATGTTGAAGTTAAGTGTGTAAAATAAGAAGCTGCAGGTAGACGTTTCTTGCTGTAAAGAAACCAAAAAACAAATGTTTCTTTCCGCAGACAGCCATGAGTTCACTCCTTTAGCCCTGGCCTATTTGTACATGCCAGGAATCGTTTTGTCAGTAAAATGTCTGGCTTGGTATGATAAATCTGGGTTCAAGGATGTGCATCGTAAAGGTAAATCTGTCGTTCTCAGCAGTGCTGTACGGGCAAAGAGACTAATTTATGCTTCTGTGTCAGCTCCACAAGGGTGAGCCTCACGCATAGACAGGCTTCTTCAAGCTGTTCTGTCTGCCGCTAGATGTCTTCAGCTTTCTTTATGTTTCTGAGAGCGCAATGGTGATGCTGTTGATGAAAGCGGGTCCTGACCAATCGCAAGCTGGCATTCTCCGTCTCGTTGGACAGATGTTTAGAAATTTGGGCTCGACTCCGTCCGTCAGTCCAGTAATAGCGTTGCGTGTGTCCGTACCGACGCAGAAGCATAAACTAGGTTTTACAGGTCGATGAACACGGAGATGAAAGGGAACTTTGCCTGAGAAAAGTAACGCCGGGCTGTACAAGCGAGCTAACAGGCAGCCTTTTCTGTGAACGTTCGTAGTGTACCTTTGTTCTTGCACGCCGCATCATTTTCATCCAGCTTTGTTCCGTCCACACAACTGATCCAAAATGAGCCCAAACTTTAGGACTTGCTGGGGATTCTTTCAATACTTTTCTTTCCCCACAGTACAACTCTGCCATTGTCCCTGGTGTTCTTCTTCACCAGGTGCTTTTAGCTCATTCTCATGAGGAGCGCCCCCTAATGGACTTTTGTTGTAGTGTTTAAAAACATCATTTAGGGACAGAGCGTACTGGTACTCGCTCATGAGTTGAAATTAGGGATGGGTACCGAATTCGGTACTTTTTAAGGTACCGACCGAATTCCATAGTACCGACCGAGCACCGATTCACGTCGTTTCAAACGGTGCCTCGTTTCGGTACCCGTCCTTCATAACGAGAACTTGCCAAGACAGCTGCGCATGCGCAAGAGCGTTATGTCGTCGGCCCCTGCGAGCGAGTTGTAAACAGAGCAGCATGGGTAGAAAGAACGCACGCTAAAGCTTGATGAAACCAGCGACAGACAACGATCTAAGTGAGACATCCTCATCTTAATCTGCTCCGGTAGGTAAATAAAATGTTTAAGATAACGTTACCTTGATGAGTTAGCTTCCGTTTCGCTAATGGTGCGTTCGCTTTCTCCTCGGAACTCCGAATTTCCGACTAGAAGAACATGAACGCGCTCTAAAGTTTGGCTTCACTTTACTAAATGCGACGGGTGATTGGGTGAAGATGAAACCAGCGACAACGATCTAAGTGTGAGGCATCATCGTTTTAATCTGCTCCAGCAGCTAAATAAGCTGTTTAAGATAATGTTAGCTTGGTATGTTAGCTTCCATTGCCACCGTTGTTTTCAGCTAATGGTGCGTTCGCTTTCTCCTCGGAAATTCTAACTTCCCAGTAGGAAAAATCAAAAGAAAAGGACGGCAAAAGGAATGAAGATACACAGTAAATTTAGTTCACAGTAAAGATGTTTGCTTCAGTTTAATTATCAGCTTATAAAACTACAAGGATGATGTTAAAATACAAACAGTTGAATGTTATTTATCGTGATATTTATCAAATATTGTTATATATTGAGAAAAATATTTATTTAATTGTAAAAGAGAATTAAAATAATAAACACTCAAAAGTATCGAAAATTGGTACCGTTAAGTACCGGTATCGATTCGTAGGTACCGGGAATTAGTACCGAATCGATTCAAATGTCAAAGGTACCCATCCCTAGTTGAAATATCGCAATATTTCGCCAAATCGTTATTTTGTCCCACCCCTACTTTTTTTTACTGGATGAGTAAAAATATACGCAGCAAGCGTTTTATTCGTGGATGGAAATGACAGGAAACTTGGGTTTAGAGGTGGAGAGGAGAATGCGAGACAAATTAGTCCATGTTTAAAAGTATCTGAATTACAAAAAACACTATAAACTCAATAGTGAATGCACTATCTTGGACTATGCATGAAAGGACTAACCCTAACCACAGAACAGCGCTACGCCGTCTGTTGCCCTGACGGGGAATTGCTTTGCAACACTCCCGAGGAGACGGAGAAGTCCGAGAGAAAAACGTCTCCGTCAATCCGTGTCAGCTCCTTTGTGGAGCTGATGCAGAAGCATAAACTGGCTTTAATGCCAATGGCAAGTAGCTGTGTTTGTGATTTTAGAGTACAAACATAATTTTTGTCATTTTCATTTAGCCTTTCTAGTGGTGCAAAGTCACATAGTGTGTCTGTGTGTGTGTGTATGTATATATATATATATATATATATTTATATATATATATATATATATATATATATTAGGGTTGTCACGGTGTGAAAATTTAGCCTCACGGTTATTGTGACCAAAATTACCACGGTTTTCGGTATTATCGCGGTATTTTTTTTAAACATGCTACATTTTCACACAATTAAATAAACCCTGTATGTCAGGAAATATTGTCCTCAGTTTGTGTCTAAATTTTGCCTAAAATGTGTTATTTTGTAATTATGTTGTTTATTTGTTTACATATTTCCCCTTTAGTCTTTAAAATATTTGCCCATAACTTCTTATTTTATGTCTGTTTGATGTCATCATTTTAAAAATATTAGATCAGATGATACTCAGTACTCAAGTAGCCTTCTAATCAGATACTTGTTTACCCTTACTTGAGTAATAAACCCAATAGAGCTCCGGGAGTTGACGTCACTTCTCCCGGCATGCAACAGTTCATATCGAAACGGCACCATATTGGCAGGCAGAAGCCGGCAGCTGGACTATTTGTTATTGTCAGAAAACTCAATCAAACGGGAAATATGGTAGATTCCTGTTGTGCCCCAGGATGCAGAACAAACACGGACGACATAAGGAATGAGCCATCTACAGGATTCCCCAAGATCCGGAGCGCCGCAAACGTTGGATCATTGTAATAAAACGCGCTAGTGACCGGGCTAAAATGAAGCTGTGGGATCCCGAGAGTAAAGGTTTTGGCTTATGCAGCGACCGCTTCATATCAGGTACTTAAACCAACGTTTCCTCAACTGTGTATGGTATTTATTTTAAATACTTTTATTACGATTCTTAGTGGGCTTCCTAAACTTATTTTGGCGTGGCTTTTTCTGTCTTATTACTCATAGCAGCAAGTAAACATCACGTAAAACGTTGCCTCGTGAGTTCTGCGTGCTGCCTTTTACGTGTTTTATGATCACAGCAATTAACCGACTAAGCTGTATTTGATTTTTAAGCAATGGTTGATCAATTGTCAGATCACACATAAAAATCACTTTGGATTGCTATTATCTGTCTCACCGAGTCAGATCTCAGACAGATCCTGAGACGCTCCTGCCTGACATATTTATTTTATTCATGGAAAAAAATCAGACTAGTGATTTCTCTTTGCGTTCAGTTTATACATTCAAACAGCACAGCACTCGATTTAAACTACTTACGTGTAAATCTGTTATTTGTCCATCCATCCATCCATTTTCATCCGCATATCCGGAGTCGGGTTGCGGGGGCAGTAGCGTGACTTCCCTCTCCCCAGCCGCCGGAGCCAGCTCCTCCGGGTAAATCCCAGGGGTTCCCCGGTCAGGTCCGGTGTTGTGCCGGTAAGAAGTCCGCTCCGACAGCTTCTGGCGTTTTT